TAGTATAGAAAATCAAAGAATAGAATAGAAAAGATTAGAATAGAAAATCAAAAAAATAGAAGAGAAAATAATAGAGTAAAACATGGCAAAAGAGAACAATAAATAAAGGAATAGAACAAACGCAATTAAATTAGAATAGAAAATATTAAAATAGAACAGAAAATCAAAGAATAGAATAGAAAATATTATAACAGAGAATCAAAAAATAGAATAGAATAGTATAGAAAAAACAATAGAAAAGAATAAAATAGAAAGAATAAACTATCTTCTGAAACTCAAATTTTGAATAGAATGAATTGAACAACAGAATACATTAGAATAGAATTGAAAAGAATAGAATAGATTAGAAAAGACTAAAATACTGTGTTATGGTGACGGGAATAGTGATCAACAAAGGCACTGTGAAAATTTTGCTGAAATAGAAATTTCCAATATGGTCCCGCAACTCCTCATATAGCCCCATATACCATCAAAAACACACATGGATTGTGGATCATGGATTGTAATGTTAGAATTGTTTTCGAAAGTTCGAATTCGGTCGAATTCGAATAAACAAAAGATACATCGATCGAGTGATTTAAAAAAAATGGCATGACGGAGTGATGAGCAACAGATAGTGACAGCTTCAACTGACCCAAGTTGATTGGTTGTGGCTGAAAAAAGATCGGTCATACAGGGTCGATCGATGTTGTTTTTCACACTCTTACAAGTAGAACAATCATAGGCAATTCACAAGGGTTTCAAAATTGCCATCGATCGACCCTGTGCAATCGTTTTTGTTCATTTTTGTCTTGTTGGTTTGTCTTTTGTTCGTTCGGTTGAATTGAACATCGATTGTGCAGTTTTGTTTTTTTTTAAAGATAATTACACATGCGCCAAATATTGGTCGGTTTCTGTTGAAGCGGATGACATTTTACCCGTGTGTACAGCAGTCATTCCAGCAGAAGCCAGGGCATGATAGAAAGGGGCATGATTGAAGGGGCACGATAGAAGGGGCACGACCAAAGGGGCACGATCGAATGGGCACAATCAAGTGGGCACGATCGAAGGGGCACGATCAAAGGGGCATGATCAAATGGACATGATCAAAGGGGCATGATTGAATTGGCACGATCGAAGGGGCAGGATTGAATGGGCACGATCAAATGGGCATGATCCAATGGGCACGATCGAATGGGCACGATCGAAGGGGCACGATCGAAGGGGCACGATCAAAGGGGCATGATCAAAGGGGCACGATCAAATGGACATGATCAAAGGGGCACGGTCAAATGGGCATGATCGAAGGGGCATGATCAAATGGGCACGATCGAATGGGCACGACCAAAGAGGCACGATTGAAGGGGCACAATCGAAGGGGTACAATCGAATGGGCACGATCGAAGGGGCACGATCGAAGGGGCACGATCGAATGGGCACAATCAAGTGGGCACGATCGAAGGGGCATGATCAAAGGGGCATGATCAAATGGACATGATCAAAGGAGCATGATTGAATTGGCACGATCGAAGGGGCATGATTGAAGGGGAAGGATTGAATGGGCACGATCGAATGGGCATGATCGAATGGGCACGATCGAATGGGCACGATCGAAGGGGCATGATTGAAGGGGCAGGATTGAATGGGCACGATCGAATGGGCATGATCCAATGGGCACGATCGAATGGGCACAATCGAAGGGGCACGATCAAAGGGGCACGATCAAAGGGGCACGATCAAATGGACATGATCAAAGGGGCACGATCAAATGGACATGATCAAAGGGGCACGATCAAATGGACATGATCAAAGGGGCACGATCAAATGGACATGATCAAAGGGGCACGGTCAAATGGGCATGATCGAAGGGGCATGATCGAATGGGCATGATCGAATGGGCACGACCAAAGAGGCACGATCGAAGGGGTACAATCGAAGGGGTACAATCGAATGGGCACGATCGAAGGGGCATGATCAAAGGGTCACGATCGAAGGGGCACGATCGAAGGGGCACGATCGAATGGGCACGATCGAAGGGGCACACTTGAAGGGGTACGATCAAATGGGCACGATCGAAGGGGCACAATCAAAGGGGCACGATCGAAGGGGCACGATCGAAGGGGCATGATCGAAGGGGCGCTATCGAAGGGGCACGACCGAAGGGGCACGACCGAAGGGGCACGACTGAAGGGGCACGATCGAAGGGGCGCGATCGAAGGGGTGCGATCGAAGGGGCATTACCGAAGGGGCACGACCGAAGGGGCACGATCGAAGGGGCACGACTGAAGGGGCACGACCGAACGGGCACGACTGAAGGGGCATGATCAAAGGGGCACGATCAAATGGACATGATCAAAGGGGCACGGTCAAATGGGCATGATCGAAGGGGCATGATCAAATGGGCACGATCGAATGGGCACGACCAAAGAGGCACGATTGAAGGGGCACAATCGAAGGGGTACAATCGAATGGGCACGATCGAAGGGGCACGATCGAAGGGGCACGATCGAATGGGCACAATCAAGTGGGCACGATCGAAGGGGCATGATCAAAGGGGCATGATCAAATGGACATGATCAAAGGAGCATGATTGAATTGGCACGATCGAAGGGGCATGATTGAAGGGGAAGGATTGAATGGGCACGATCGAATGGGCATGATCGAATGGGCACGATCGAATGGGCACGATCGAAGGGGCATGATTGAAGGGGCAGGATTGAATGGGCACGATCGAATGGGCATGATCCAATGGGCACGATCGAATGGGCACAATCGAAGGGGCACGATCAAAGGGGCACGATCAAAGGGGCACGATCAAATGGACATGATCAAAGGGGCACGATCAAATGGACATGATCAAAGGGGCACGATCAAATGGACATGATCAAAGGGGCACGGTCAAATGGGCATGATCGAAGGGGCATGATCGAATGGGCATGATCGAATGGGCACGACCAAAGAGGCACGATCGAAGGGGTACAATCGAAGGGGTACAATCGAATGGGCACGATCGAAGGGGCATGATCAAAGGGTCACGATCGAAGGGGCACGATCGAAGGGGCACGATCGAATGGGCACGATCGAAGGGGCACACTTGAAGGGGTACGATCAAATGGGCACGATCGAAGGGGCACAATCAAAGGGGCACGATCGAAGGGGCACGATCGAAGGGGCATGATCGAAGGGGCGCTATCGAAGGGGCACGACCGAAGGGGCACGACCGAAGGGGCACGACTGAAGGGGCACGATCGAAGGGGCGCGATCGAAGGGGTGCGATCGAAGGGGCATGACCGAAGGGGCACGACCGAAGGGGCACGATCGAAGGGGCACGACTGAAGGGGCACGACCGAACGGGCACGACTGAAGGGGCACGATCGAAGGGGCACGATCGAATGGACACGATCGAATGGACACGATCGAAGGGGCACACTTGAAGGGGTACGATCGAATGGGCACGATCGAAGGGGCACAATCAAAGGCGCACGATCGAAGGGGCACGATCGAAGGGGCGCGATCGAAGGGGCACGACTGAAGGGGCACGACCGAAGGGGCACGACTGAAGGGGCACGATCGAAGGGGCATGACTGAAGGGGCACGACCGAAGGGGCACGACTGAAGGGGCACGATCGAAGGGGCACGACCGAAGGGGCACGATAGAAGGGGCACGACTGAAGGGGCACAATCGAAGGGGCATGACTGAGGGGGCACGATCGAAGGGGCACGATCAAAAAAGGTCTGCCGATCGCCAGCGCTCCCAGTGTGTTCCAGCTGCTGGGGGGGGTCCCACTAGCACAGCGGGGGGAGATCTCTGTACTAACACAATCATTTATTTCATTTTGTTTCAATTTGAAATCTAACAAATTTCATGTAGTTGGATTTGGTAAATTCGTTCAATTTGTTTTCGGGATTCGTATTTGAATTCAATTCGAAAACATTTTGACCAAATTGGAAAAGTCGTTCACATTTGAAATTGGTTCAACTAAATTTGTTTGAAATCGGAAAGATTTCAACCGAATATGAAAAAATTCAACTGTAAAGTTAAGCTGGTAGATTAAAAAAAAAAAAAAAAAAGCTAAAAGTCATCAGCTACAAAATCTGTAGCTGCTGACTTTTAAAAAATGGACACTTACCTGTCCCTCGGTCCCGTGGTGTCCCCCCATCCCCCCCGCAAATCTTTTTACTGGCCGCCCTGTGCTCCTGGTGCCGCCATCTTTAGTGTGGGCACCCGGCTGTGACAAATTGCTGCTTCGCTGCCCACTGAGCATGTGCAAGAAGCGCTGCGCTTTGTGAATGGCCCTGGGACCTCTCACGTGTCCCAGAAGACTACGGGGAGGGAGGGTAGGAGGAGAACGCCAAGGCGATCGCAGCGGACGTGGGAGCGGTTACCTGTCAATTTTGGGTACCCCAAAGGTGCCAATCCTTAACAGGGAGAGGGGGACCAGTCCTTAAAGCGAAACTTCCCTTTTGGGTGGAGCTCCTTTTGGGTGGAGCTCCGTAGTACATGCATTACTTTTGGTGCGATTCACATAGATATCTGTGTCCAAGGGCGGACTGACAATTTGGAAACTAGGGCACCGCCCAAGGGCCCGAGGTCAGTAGGGGGCCCCATGAGATGCCCCTGGTACCTTTTAGGCTTTTTTGAGTTTGGGCAAGGACACAGGGGCCCCATGATCCCCTATTGCCCGGGGGCCCCATGAGTTGTCAGTCCGCCCCTGTCTGTATCAGATGTCTTGCAAATCGCACTTGAAATCGGCATGTCAAATTGCACGACTTCACTGTAAGTCGCACAATTTCAAAAGCAGCTTTGATGTGACCGGGGGGTAAACAAATTTAGGTTCACACCTATGCAGGTTGAGTTTGATGCATTTCTGCATTGCATTTTGCTTTGCATTTTGCATTTGTTTCACTTGCGTTTTTGCAGCTTTTGCGTTTTTTTTCTTGTTACTTGGCAGATTTTAAACGCAAAACGCAGCAAAAACGCAATATATGCTTTTCTGCAATGTTCCCATTGAGGTCTATAGAACCAAAACAGCAAGGTTTTGCATTCAGGGCTGGTTCACACTAAGAAACACAGTCCAGATCAGGGATGGACTGACAACTCATGGGGCCCCCAGGCAATAGGGGATCATGGGGCCCCTGTGTCCTTGCCCAAACTCAAAAAAGCCTATGAAAAAGGTACCAGGGGCATCTCATGGGGCCCCCTACTAACCCCGGGCCCTCAGGCAGTGCCCGAGTTTCCAAATGGTCAGTTTCCCTGGTCCAGATGCATTCCGGATGCGTTTTTGCATGCACGTTTTTGACGCTTTTTTTGGTGCTTTCAGGTGCAGTTTTGACATATTCCAGTGCAGTTTTTATGCATTTCAGTTCATATTTCCCCTCTCTTTTTCTTCAATTCAGGGCCAGTTCACACTACATGCGTCTAAGTTACTTTTTTCTGCATCCAAAACGCACAGAAAGTAGGTTATATGGTTGTCAGTGTCATAGCTCACATCAGTGCTTGCAGTTCCAGTTGCAGAAAAAAAAGTAGAACAGGCTGCATTTTTTCTGCACAGAACTGTACTGGAACACAGTAAAATGCAGAAAAATGCACCGAAACGCATAAACAATGCACCAAAAGCGCTCTGGAATGCACATATCCCTATTTAAATTGAAGAAAAAGAGGGGAAAAAATTAACTAGAGTACATACAAAACGCATCAAAAACGAGTCGGAACACATAACAAACGCATCAAAAATGCACCGGAATGCGTCAAAATGCACATGTGAAAATGTACTGGAATGCACTAAAACGCATAAAAAATGCACCGGAATGCACAAAAATACACCAAAGGTGCTCTGGAATGCACATGTCCCTATCTGAAGAAAAAGAGGGGAAAAAATGAACTAGAATACTTAAAAACCGCACTGGAACGCGTTAAAAATGCATCAAAAATGCACAGGAACACGTCAAAAACGCATCAAAAATGCACCGGAATGCGTCAAAACGCACATGTGGACATGTACTGGAATGCAGTAAAATGCATAAAAACGCACTGGAACGCACAAAAATATACCAAAATTGCTCTGGAATGCACATGTCCCTATTTGAAGAAAAAGAGGGGAAAAAATGAACTAGAATACTTAAAAAATGCACTGGAACGCGTTAAAAATGCATCAAAAAATACACAGCAACATGTCAAAAACACTTTAAAAACGCATGTGAAAACGCATCTGGAATGCATCTGGACTGTGTTTCTATAGTGTGAACCGGCCCTTAAACAGGGACATGTGCGTTCCAGTCTGTTTTTGGTGCGTTCCGGTGCCAAGTCGCACCCTATTGTCCGCAATTACAGCGGTCATATCGGCTTGGTCGGAGCCGCACCCATTTCTAATGTACTACTTTTGGTGCGATTCCCATAGACAGACATTAGAAAATTCTAAAACCTACAACAAATAAAAAATCATCAGCACAATGTGGCTACAATGTATCCAGTGGTTGTGTCTACTAAACAGCTGGTCCATGGAAGGAACACTTTGTATACATTTCATGTTCTATTTACAAACATTATTGTTATTATCCTTTCCCTCTTGTATTGAACTGTATTGTTGCTGTATTGTCTCCCGTTATATTGTAAAGTGCTGAGCAAACTGTTGGGGCTATATAAATCCTGTATATATAATAATATAAATCCTGTATAATAATAATAATAATATAAATCCTGTATAATAATAATATAAATCCTGTATAATAATAATATAAATCCTGTATTATAATAATATAAATCCTGTATAATAATAATAATAATAATATAAATCCTGTATAATAATAATAATAAAAAATAATATAAATCCTGTATAATAATAATAATAATAATATAAATCCTGTATAATAATAATAATATAAATCCTGTATAATAATAATAATAATAATAATATAAATCCTGTATAATAATAATAATAATATAAATCCTGTATAATAATAATAATAAAAATAATATAAATCCTGTATTATAATAATAATAATAATAGTATAAATCCTGTATAATAATAATAATAATAATCTAAATCCTGCATAATAATAATAATCTAAATCCTGTATAATAATAATAATATTATAAATCCTGTATAATAATAATAATGATAATATAAATCCTGTATAATAATAATCTAAATCCTGCATAATAATAATAATAATAAACTAAATCCTGCATAATAATAATAATCTAAATCCTGTATAATAATAATAATAATAATATATATAAATCCTGTATAATAATAATAATAATCTAAATCCTGCATAATAATAATAATCTAAATCCTGTATAATAATAATAATAATATTATAAATCCTGTATAATAATAATAAATAATAATAATAATAATAATAATAATATAAATCCTGTATAATAATAATAATATAAATCCTGCATAATAATAATAATAAACTAAATTTTACATAATAATAATCTAAATCCTGTATAATAAATAATAATAATAATATAAATCCTGTATAATAATAATAATAATAGTAATAATATAAATCCTGTATAATAATAATAATATTATAAATTCTGTATAATAATAATAATCTATATCCTGTATAATAATAATAATCTAAATCCTGTATTATAATAATAATAATAATAATCTAAATCCTGTATAATAATAATCTAAATCCTGCATAATAATAATAATCTAAATCCTGTATAAAATAATAATAATAATAATATAAATCCTGTATAATAATAATAATAATATAAATCCTGTATAATAATAATAATAAAAATAATATAAATCCTGTATAATAATAATAATATAAATCCTGTATAAAAATAATAATAATATTATAAATCCTGTATAATAATAATAATAATAATTAGAAGAAGAGATAGCAGGCACTGCAATGAAAGGGAGAGGGAAGAGACTACATTTCCCATGATGCCTTGCAGGACCGCCCAGCCCTGGGAGGAGTAGGGAGGGGGGGGGGGTTGTGTCTGTAGAGCAGAGTTGTAGAAGCAGAGGAGCTGGAGCAGCTGTGATTGGCACCTCTGTGCAGCCAGCACCTGGGCTCCTGACACCCCTGGGACAGGTACTGTACCTGGATGGGTCTGGGAGGGGGAGGGGGCATACCTGGATGAGCCAGGCAGCTCTGTGTGCCTATTGCACAGGGCTCATTGCATTGACTTGCACACAGAGATTTTCTTGCATGCATGCTGCATTTGTTGCAATCAGCTGTTGGTAGCATGCAGCAGGGGACAGGTAATGTATCCCTGGGGTGAGCCCTCCTCCCCTGCTGCAGTGTGGGTCAGGCAGGCTGTGCTGAGGGCTGCGGTAATACAATCATCCCCCTGGAGGGATCTGCTCTGCTCTCTTTAGCACATGGTTTTTGTTAGTGACCAAGAAGCAGCTGGGCGTGTGTGTGCGATTCTGGAATTCCACACATTGCTGGGTGTCCCCAACTATACTTTTCCTCCCCTGTCTATATATGTAACACCCACTGAGCTTGTAGAAGTGTTTTTGTCTCCGATCGGCTCACAGGAAATAGACTTTTGCTATGAAATGGCTCTGGTTAGCGTTTTTGTTGCGAGCAAAAAAAAAAAAAATGAAGGCGTTCAGAGCTTTGACTTTTTTGCAGCATTTGGCTCTGTTGAACACCAAATGCGATTTCAAAGCGGTGCGATTTGGTCCCATTTAAAGCACAGCTTCAAAGTAGCGTTGATAGAGACACTGGTGCGATTTATGTTGTGAGTAGAAAAAAAAATGAATGCGATCAGAGCTTTGACTTTTTTTGCAGCATTTAGTTCTGTCGCACACCTAATGTGATTTCAAAAGCGGTGCGATTTGGACCCATTTAAAGGACGGCTTCAAAGTAACGTTAATAAAGACACTGGTGTGATTTCAGTGGCAGTTACCTTCTGGTCTATGAGAGTTTAAATTGCACCGAAGTGGTGAAAAAGTAATGCAGGAACCAGGGGCAGACTGACCATTTGGGCTCTCGGGCACTGCCCTAGGGCCCGGGGTCAGCAGGGGGCCCCGTGAGATTCCCCTGGTACCTTTCATAGGCTTTTCTGGGTGTGGTTTGAGTGTGGGCAAGAACACAGGGTCCCTATGATCCCCCTATTGCCCGGGGGCCCCATGAGTTGTCAGTCCGCTCCTGGCAGGAACCTATTAAGACCGTGCCATAGAAATGCATTAGATGCGACTTCTTCATGTGTGATTTGCAAATCACGTGTCGCAGTGGTGTGATCCTGGGCTTGCACCCCCAGTGACACCAATCCCACTTTGAAATCGTCCGACTTCACTGGGATAAGAAAGTCAGATTTCAAAGTTGGATTGGTGTGACCAGGGTGTAAGCCCAGGTTCACAACGCTGCAATGTGCGATTTACAAATCATACCATGGATGGTATTCCGACTTGAGGTCTGCTTGCAAGAGATCTGCGGCTTGCAAGACACAGATGTCTATGCAAGTTGCACCTAATGCTTGGTTCACATCTATGCAGTTTGCGTTTCATCAATTTCTACATTGCGTTTTGGATGCGTTTTGTGGTCTGTCTGTTTTCCTTGGTGCTAGGCAGATTTAAAATGCAAAAATGCACTACATGCTTTTCTGCAGCGCTTCCATTGAAGTCTATAGAACCAAAAACGCAACTTTTGAGTTAAAAAAAAAGTCCCTGACCCTTTCCAAAAAAACGGTGGAAACGCGCAGATGTGGAAGTGTCCCATAGGAAATCATGTTAAATGGACTGTACTGCATTTCTGCAAAACGCTGTAGAAAATGCTTAGGTGGGAACCTGGGGTAAAGTACTGCATGCAGGCTCCAACCAAGTCGGAATTGCACCGATATGACCGCTGTAATTGCAGACAGTAGGGTGCGACTTGCCATGGGATTTGTAATTCGCATGGCAAGTTGCACCCGGTGTGGACGGGGTCTTAAAGCACGAATTGCCGACTTCAGTTTGGTTGTACAACTCAATGGTGATCTTCACTGTCACCACAAACCTCAGGATTTGGCTTGGCTTCTTACAACGTAGTTTGGGGGGGGGGGGGGTAAAATTCGGTGTTGGGGCTTAACCTGGCCACACACTAGTAGAATTTTGTATAAAATAATAAACGTTCACTTCAAATTTTTTTGTCACTATTAGTGGGGTCGTCGACATTTTGTTTTTGACCCGAATGCATAGGAGCTGGATGGAAGATTGTCGTTGAACGAACTGATTGCTACAAGTGAATGTGATTTTCATTCCGGAAAGTCTGTGCATTCTAAAATTGAATGTTGAAAGTAAACAAATAATTCTTAAAGGAC